CAGCGCACACGCTGGTGGAGGGACATGTCCCCAGTCTGGGTGCCCTTCAGGGCCTGGGGAGCTGTATTGGGTGTATGAGACCCCCTCGCCCTTCCCCGACCATTTTGCAGCCTCTTCGCCAGCTCCAGGTAGCTCCAGAGCCATTCAGGTATTTCTTCATCTTAAAATGATGCAAGGCATGTGGGTGCAACAGGGATGCCAGGTAAACCTCTGCTGGGGGGGACTGCAGGGGTCTCAGCCCCTGCCAGGCCCCAGTAGAGTTCTTGTCCGGGGGAAAATCTGCCCTGGGATTCACGGTGGCCATGGGAAGCCAGAGGTCACAGTAATCCTCCCGCTCATGGAAGCGTGTGCTTAAAGCTGGAGCCAGCCGGAGGCAGGGTCTGCTGCAAACTGCTGCTTTCCCCCTGAACCAGAATTAACCTGATCCGCTTTCGCTGAGCTTGAGCAGGGGCCAAATCGAAGCAGAATAATCTGAACCACAGCCAGACTTCACCTGTAAGAAATCCCAAATCCCGGCACTTCCAGGCTGCTTCCGCATGGCCGGGCTGTGCTGTCCCTGTGCCAGGTCCCCTTTGGTGGCAGGTCCCAGAGCAATGCGGTTTAGCTTCACGCACATCCACGACGGTGCATGCAGCCTCTCCATCCTCAGCCCGCTCCGCAGGGCTGAGCACATCCAGCATAAACGCATCAGGGAATTCAATGCTTTCTGCTAATCACCCTTACCCCAGCCAGTTAATAACAGCTTGGCAGAACTCGCCAGCACAGAGACAATTAATACCGTGTCAAACAGGATCCAGAGCAGAGATCTCTTGTTACCCTGGGGAAGAAAAACACCCCGCGTTTGCTCTCTAGGAGGAGCTCAAACTCTGCTGTTCTCCCGTGCAGGGCTGGCAGCCGGCTCGTCCCGCGAGCCCAAGAGGCTGCTCGCAGCTCTGCAGCTCTGCTATGGGCATCGCTGTCCCCCAGCCACCCCAGCTCTCGTGTGCGGTCCAGCGCATGGGTCTGCCCAAGCGCATCGGGGCACTTTGGGAAGGGGAGCCCCTTGCAGCCTGCACTGCCCTCCCTGCGCACTGGGGAGGCCCCTCTGGCTGCAGCACCATCTCGTGCCTCCGGGCCGGTGGCCTGTCAGGCCCTCCCTCAGCCCCTGGCTGGGGCAGCCTCATGGCTGGCAGCATGTGGCCCTGCTGCGCCAGCTCTGTGCCCAGCAGCAAATTGCCAGGGACGCTTTGGGAGGGTCTGGTGGCCCTTGACAGCTCTGTGGTGCTGCTGCCTCACGGAGTCCCCTGGGAAGAGGGACTGCATCCTGACTGCCCGTCTCAGCAAGCCGCGGGCTGGGCACCCACGCCGTGCCCTGCCTGGCACTTCTCTGTGCCTCCAGGCAGAGTGTTCGCAGCCTTCCT